CTAAATATGTGGCATCCAACGATACCGATGACTATTGGATTTGAGCCCAAGGAATTATTCCTCAGCTGCTAAAACACCTCAGATCGGAGATTAAAGGTTTTGAGGAGCCTGGAATCACCACTTAAATGTAATTGTTAGCAGGTCTATTCTTACCCGGGGTTGTAGCACCTGTTAGGGTCCCGGATATAGGCAAATAGTGAACCTCCAAAACAAAAATCAGCAGTAGATTTTATAACAAAATGACCAACAATACATTTTGTTATAAAAATTTTTTTGCTAGTATGTATATATATATATATTAACATGAATTACTGTATATATATATATATATATATATATATATATATATATATATATATATATTGTGTATATTCAGGCAGCAATTTTTCATTGATGCATGTTTCATTAAATAATATAGACAAGTTTTGTCCATTTATTTTAAGTAAGTTCCTTTCATATTATCAGATAAGCTTAATCACATTATCATTGAAGGACGAAAGGGAATCACCATATTGATAAATGTTTAAATCCAATCTAAGATTTCAGCTTACACAAGCCTTTATCAAAATTGACTTTTCAATATATCAACCAATACACGGACGAAACAATAATGATAGTCTGTTTTTGTTGCATGAAAAATTTCAAAGCAACGACTAACTCGAGACGCGGAAACAAAAAGCGCCTCGCAGCTCGTGACGTCACACATGACCACGCGAGAATGAAAACGAGAAGTATTAAGTATGGGAAGCCCTTGATATAAACCAATAGCTTCTGTTGTCAATTATAGGCATAGTTGTATTTTTTGAAGGAGAGATTTGTGTTTGTATTTGTTTTTGTTTTTTTTTCTTTATTTATTATTTTAATTCTTTCATTGGCTTTCTTTTGTGGTTCAGTCAGCAATATCACCTTGGTGTACGTGTCTTTCACATAGTTTTGAAGTTTTGGCCAGTCATTTGGTCCTAAATGTATGTGCTTCTCAGTGAGGGTGCTGTATTTGTCAGGGTGACTTATGTTTGTTGTGATTATTCCTTACGTTTTTTTTTGCATAGGAAGGTCCACTCATGTAGCATTTTACAATTTGCCCTGACTCCACGAATGAGAAATTTCGTTTATGTTTCATCTCAACAATCTCCTTTACCAGAAGTCCCATGATCGTCAGTATTCTGGATGAGTTTCCTGGCAGAACATCTTTCTTCATAGTGGCATCCTTTTCCCCTGTGGTTTGAATCCCTCTTAGCTACATTTTTTTCACATGATGGGCGACTCCTGCAATTATTTTGAGGGTAGCGCTTTCTATCGCCGAAGCTGCGGAAATAAGATTCAAGATGTAGCAGGAAGCCAAAATTTCACAGAAGCTTTTCTCCTTAACACTATATTTTGCTTACAGCAGCTTGTTTTCCTCCTTGGCAGCAGTCAATCCCACAAGAGACGAAAGGCCATCTACCACTTTTTTTTTTAATTTCATGACGAAGAAAATAGTTCATCTTTGAATACAACATCATTTTCTGTTAACCCAAGTTTTAAAAGTTCAATACGCATGGAAATTTTTGAGCTGAGATTTGATCTACTATTGCAACTGATTCGCCTTTGCGGCTTTGGCCTTCGGCAAATTTACGCACATTAATTGAAGAAGAAATTTTAATGTTTTTTTCTTGAATCTAAACGAAAATTATTTTTCGCAGAGACTTTGATTTTCAGCAAAATGGTGATTAAGAATATTTTTTAAATATCAAATTCAAAAATGATATCTTTTTTTTTTTTTTTATCCCCAGGGTGTATTTGTCATCATGCAATACAGGGAATCGCCGGACATGATTGAAATATAACTAGTAATATTTTAGAGCCGTTTAAAACTGCTAAAAAGAAATTAACTAAAGCCAATTAAAATTTTTAATTAAACATTAAAATTAAACAAACAAATGTTTTATTGAATTCTTGAGTTTTATCAATGAAAAAAAATAATTACTAATTATTATTAACTAATTATGGATTCATTACGGTATCCAGAGTAAACCTAACATGTATGAAAATTGAAACAAGAAGCGGTCGAATTTCCTTTCATGCTCTGATTTTACTCTTTTTTATTTTAATTCTTTCATTGGCTTTGTTTTGGGGTTCACTCAGCACTATCTCCTTGGAGTCTCTGTCTTTTACGTAGTTTTGAAATTTGAGATAATCATTTGGTCGTAAGTGTACGAGCTTTTATATTTGTCATTATACTGGCTTATTTCATACATGATTGCTGAATATTTTTGTGGGGATTTAACTTAGTATGGGATTTAGTCGGGATTTAATTTTCCCACGTTTCGTTTTTGGAATTTTTGGCCGTTTTTTGGGGTCACGCTTTGCACATCCATTTATTACAGTTTGTCAAATCTGTTTTAGGTAAGAATTTGGTCACCGTGAATTTTTGGTTTTTGTTCGGCTGGTTTTTGTGTCGGGTGTATAGGAGATCGCAATGACCTTTTCTTTGTAGGAGATTTTGTATTTTTTGAAGGTATGATTTGTGTTTGTATTTGTTTTGTTTTTTTCTTATTTATAATTTTAATTCTTTCATTGGCTTTCTTTTGTTGTTCAGTCAGTACTACTTACTTGCAGTATGTATCTTTCACATAGTTTTGAAGTTTGGGCCCGTCATTTTATAGTAAAAGTACATGCTTCTCAATGAGGTTTCTGTATTTATCAGGATGACTTATGTTTTTTGTGATCATTCCTTACGTTTTTTTTTCTTTCATAGGAAAGGACTTTCATGTAGCTTTCTATAATTTGCCTTGTCTCTACAAATGAGAAATTTCGATTATGTTTCATCTCGACAATCTCCTTTTCCAGAAATCGTATGATTGTGACTATGCTGAGTGGTTTTCCTGCCAGTTAGCACATCTTTCTTCATAGTGGCATTCTTTTTCCGTTTGCTCTGAATACCTTTGGCCATATTTTTCAAATGTTGGGCGACTCCTGCAGATATCCCTATGATGCCTAAATGTTTGGCACTTGAAGCACCTTAGTGGAGCAGGAAGTTGCAGTATAATCCACGGGTGGGCTCGTTGAGTATAGAAGGTTGTTATAATAAATATTAAAATTGGTTGATTTTATTTGTTCTGATATGTCTGAGATTTCACACCAAACATTTTTCTGGGGTTCAAATAACAGCAACACTCCTGTCCCCCCCAGCACTTTCAGTAGTATCCCCTTTTTATTATTATTATTTTTCTTTTTTTTTAACATGACGTTCACTCTGTACAATATCCGGGAACCACTCAAGATACCGGGTTACAGAGTAAGACGGAATAGTGTATGACAGTGGCATGCAGAAAAGGAAACCAGAGGGTACATCTCGGGAGGGCATCTAATCAAAGAGCGAAATACAAATTTAGTTTATATTTAATTTAAATAAAGTGTCATTATTCATCTGTTTTTAGATATTTAAAATGTCTTCCTTTCTCACATTTCTCAGTCCTATGCTCTATAGTCCCACTTACTTGAGTCTTAGGGGCATACAATCAAGGGGTGGGGCCCCGGGTCATCACCAAACATCAACAAACCTCTGTACGTCAGAGATTATGTCATTATTTTCTTATCGAGTTACATTCATACATTTCTCATTCCTAGGCTCTATAGTCCCACTTACTTGAGTCTTAGGGGCATACAATCAAGGGGTGGGGCCCCGGCAATCCCCAAACATCATTAAACCTCTGCCCGTCAGTGATTATGTCATTATTTTCTTATCGAGTTACATTCATGCTATTCATTTTAGTTGTTGTTGAAAGCGATGTGGTTTCCGTTATTTGGTACAGTTCTTTGTGATTCTGTAGCGCCAGACCACAAGGTTTTAAGAATTGTGGTCATCAGTAACGCCCATTGTGTTCACTCCCTGAAAGTCATGTTAAAAAAAATATTTCTAATATAAACAGATATTATCAGGCGAATTACATCTCATTGTATACATATATCTGGATTTTTTTTTTTTTACCGGCATCTGTTCTTTAATAACTATAAAGGTTTATTTCATTTTTCATTTGTTTTTACACATTTAAAATGTCTTCCTTTCTCACTATTAGGCCCTACAGGCGATATGAACCGACATTCCCACGCGGCTGGATGTGGCACAAGGCCCATTTTTATGTAGGGCGATCTGAGCCCGTAGGCTCGGGCAAAAATTCCCCGTACACCCCGCATATACAGGATCGGGTTTGTCTACCTCCCCAGACGAGACTCCACCCTTCGGCATAGCCTATTCTGGGTTCCTCTCTCCCCGAAAGCAGAGAGTTGACGTGTTGAGGTTGCTCAAGCCTATGTCGGAAATTACGCCCCCCCCTATACTAGGTTCTATAAGCTTGAATCCTAGGGGCATAAAATCAAGGAGTTGGGCATGAGCATCACCAGACCTACGTAAGTCATTGAAATCTGCAAAGCAAAAACATTAATGAGTGCATCTGCAGATATTATCAGGCGAATTTCATCTTGTATATTTGTTGTATACATATATCACATTTTTTTTTACCGGCATCTGTTCTTTAATAACAATTTCATTGTGAAGCCATTGATTAAATTTGAATTTAATATAATGCAAACCAAATGCCGAACATCTGCCATTTCTGATTATTTCTCAATCAAAATATTCTGAGTTCGTGTGTACCATTCATATTAAATAGTATTTACTCGATTTAAAGTAGCATTTTGCGATGACTTCGCCGAAGCAAATTCATGTCAGAAAAACTGATATAAAAAAAAACAAAACTAAAAAATGACGGAACAAATCTAGGAAAAGATATCGATTTATTTGGAAGAATAAAGTCTGTATATACATTTAGCAATCGCCAGTAATTTCGCATCGAAAAGATTTCTTTGAAAAATCATCTTTTATTTTCGCTCTCTTTTTATTTTCCACAATTTCGATCCTTCAAAAAATTGCACTGATTTCACTTAAGTGCAAAACAATACAAGAAAGAAATGAGTTTCCCGCCAGAAGAAATAAAACCAAACCATTAATCAATTATCAGAGAATAATCTATCTATCTATCTATCTATCTATCTATCTATCTATCTATCTGTCTGTTTGAATCTATTCATATCTATCTCAGTCAGTTATCTATCTATCTATCTATCTATTTATCTATCTATATATATATATATATATATATATATATGATTCTCTTCATATCTATATATCTAAATCTGTTCATCTATCTATTTATCTATCTCATTCTATTCGTTATCTATCTATCTATCTATATATATATATATATATATATATATATATATATATATATATATGTTTTTGAATCTACTCATATCTGTCTCAGTCTGTTGATTATATATCTATATATTCTACATACATATATATGACTCTCTTCATAGATATATATCTAAATCTGTTCATCTCTATCTATCTATCTATCTATCTATCTATCTATCTATCTATCTATCTGTCTGTCTGTCTGAATCTGTTCATATCTATCTCAGTCTGTTCATTATCCATCTATACACCCCCTATATATATATATATATATATATATATATATATATATATATATATATATATATATATATATATGCGGCACTTCATAGCTATATCTCTAAATTTGTCCATCTATCTATGTTTATATCTCTGTCCATTTATTTATCTCTCAAAATCTGTTCATATCTATCTCAGTCGGTTCACTTGTATGTATGTATGTATGTATGTATGTACGTATCTGACTATCAATGTATCTCAAGCTGGTCATAAGCTATCTATCAATCTATCTATCTATTTCAATCGGTTCATTTCTGTCTAGCTCTCTAACCAGCGAGTTATATATCTCGCTATCTCAATCCGCTTTTATCTATCTATCTATCTATCTATCTATCTATCTATCTATCTATCTATCTATCTATCTATGTGTATGTGTGTGTGTGTGTGTCTGTGCGCGCGCGTGTGTGTGTGTGTGTGTATCAGGGCTACAGGAATGTAGGACGCCCATGGCTAAGACCCAAAGACAGGCTGAAGAGCAACTTGTCAGCTGTCAATATACCTTATAATACCATTGAGCGCTTAGACTTGGAGCGGGTAAGATGGAGATCAACGTGTTTTAGTGAACTCAGTATTTTTCAATCTGCTAGTCTGAATCGTCTTCAAAAAACGAGAGCATGATCTAAAAGGTCAGTTAATCTGACAGTGATCTCATCCCACAATCCTCACTCTTGCTCCATATGCGGCCTCCTTTCTAAATGACTAGCCGGTCTTAAGTGCCACTTAATATTATCCCACAAAATTCTTGACTGAATCAATTGGTTGTTGTCAGATCCCCATACGTCGAAACCGACGTAAGAGTACATTATATATATATATATATATATATATATATATATATATATATATATATATATATATGTAACTATACTCGTCTCGAAAAACCCTCGACTTTTTGATTGGCCAATAATCAAATCAATCTCGAAGGAAAAAAGTTTTAAAAAAGAAAGAGCCAGCTTTCCCCTGACGATCCGCTTAGATGAAACCTGGGTAGGTTTTCTCTAGCTCACCAGGTTTGACTACTATATATATATATATATATATATATATATATATATATATATATATATATATATATATCGGCCTACATATCTTATATATAGAACGAACATAAAGGTCTTCGTTCCCAACATTAAATATATAAATTCTAATATATAAAATAAGAATAATTTTGAAAAAAAATCGACAATCTCTACCAAATATTCCAAGGCTAACTTAAATTCCGCCAGATAGGGCATCATTTAAGCTGGCTTCTGCAAATGGCTCTTGATTAGACCTTCATCAGAATAATTAGAGAAGAATATATGCAATAGATAGCAATAAACTGCAAAAGAACACACAATTGATCGCTGCATTTAAGTATTGCATTAATATTTAGATTTATTTTTAAAACTTCAACTATAATTATTCTGCTGCCACTTAATTTAAAGTCAATTTGATGTACGTAGGTCCTTACTTTCCGTACAAACAATTATTTTTATTTCATGGGTGACTTTCGCTGGATTTCACAATTAATTTCTATTATTCTCAAAGCGAATTTTTGATTTTTCCTTTTTGTTATTTATTGTTATTTATTATTTCCAAAATTCGCTTGAGGATGAAATGGAACTAACGCCTTTAATTTAATTACAAAATTAAATTCGAAGCATTTAGCTTCCATTTTTGAAACATGGTTAGAACTGTGTAGCGAAAAAAAACATATTTTAAATCAGTTAATTTATAATATATATATATATATATATATATATATATATATATATATAAAATTACCAGTAGATAAAATTCAATGCCCCATATGATATATGGCCATTTCGACCAGAACGGACTTGTCAACATAAAGGAGTTAGATAAAAAAAAAAAAAATGAATCATAATGTTTTAGTTTATATTGAGCTCTCTTTTATGAATCAGTTTTACTATTTTATATTACTAGGATTCACTTGGATTACTTACCACGGATTTTACCTATATATATATATATATATATATATATATAGTCATCTGCAGAAAGATTGTTTCGCTGTATCACAGCCCATCTTTGTAGCTAGACATCCGTTTGCTTCAAGCCGAGACTCGGAAACAGTCAGAGATTTTCCCTCTAAGCCATCGGCGCACGGTTGTAAGAAAGGCGAATATTTACGTACTCATTATGTGAATAAACAGGCCAATGACCGAGAGAGCTCAATTCACGGAGGTGGAAGAGCCTCGCAATGTTGATAGTAGTAGTCTTTATATAATCCATCTTTTATATATGATCGACTATTCCATCTTATAAAAATTATAGGTAGACGGGTCAGTCTCTCATAAATATAAGAGTTACTTTTCAATCAACCTGTATATTTTGCTTATATTTTAGAAATATTTATTATTATTATTAATATTGTTTTCTGTTTCTTTTTCTATCTTTGAATTAATTATTGACAATAATAACTAAATTATTATTATGTTTCCTTTATAACTTAGATATCATATTAGTGATATCATTGCTTCTTTTTATGTATTACGAATTTTTATATATAAAAATAATTATTAATGTTATTATTGTTTCTTTTTTATATTATTGAAAAAGTAAATAATGATATTTATTATGATTTTGTTTCATTTTTATCTGGTATTTTTTTTCCTATTTCTTTCATTGTATTTTCCTTCATTCTCTTTCTAGCATTACAGCAACTGCCGCCTCCATTGGTGCGGCTGGCGTGCCACAAGCAGGCCTCGTTACCATGGTTATAGTGCTTTCCGCCGTCGGATTACCCACCGATGACATCACTCTCATTCTGGTCGTTGATTGGTTCCTGTAAGTGTGACGTTTTTATTGTTTTGTTTTCCTTTTTTTTTTTCCTTTTTTTTTTCTGTTACCTTTTTCGTCTCACTCCAAATGACATATGGAACGAGAGAAAGAAATTAAAAAAAAAAAAAAACGGATATTAGAATTTACAGATATATTTCTTCATGCTTTGGGCTCTTCGATGTGATGGAATGATTAACAAGCAGCGTATAAATTCTTCTTTGGAGGGATTTTCAACGCAAGCTTATCATCTCTCAATTGCGTCTCTGTGCGCTCAGGGGCTTCTCTGTCAAAGGACAGAGGGGCAACTGAGGAAAATAATACTGAAGAGGTGCCCAGCCCTGGTGAACAGCTGCCCGATGCCGCGCCCTCACATTGCACCAGAAGGAGGGATCGGTGCTCGTATCGAGGCCAGCGCAACCGACGCTTGCGGGGGCTGAGGGCAAGTTTTTGTTCCTTGCCCGGGTGTACGCGCTCGGGTCGCCACTTTAAAAAGACCTTGTGTCACATCTCGTCCTCGTGGTGGAACGAGTGAACACCGTAATGATTAACAAGCTTGTCTCGTTAGATCAGTCGCATCTGAATAGTTAATTCTATACACACTCGGTACCCAACAATTTTGGCCTTGTGCCATATTTAAGCTACGCTTAGCAATTCGCCATATTTCATCATGTTACAAAGAAAATAAAAATGTTCCAGCTATTAACAAACACACAGTGTCATGTCACGTTGAATCACCTATTCTTATACGATACCAGCTGTTGTACGCTTGGTGTAATGGATAAATCCGAGAGCTGAGGTCCAGTTCCGGTTGGGTTCGTTATATGCGTTTGGTGAAATGTATGAATCGACGTCTTCTCCCCCCAACTATGGGTTAATTAGTAAGGCTTGTACCACTAAATCATTATTATCTCCCATCTACCCACCAAAACTTCTTACAACCTAAAAACATTTTCTGGATTTAAATAACATACAAGCGGTTGATAGACCGTAGAAAACGAATCTATAACGATATATAAATTCAAGAAAATGAAGTCGTCAATCGTAACGAAACTTGGTATATTTTTGGCGCCATTCTTCTAAGTCTTGTAGAGTGGCATTATGCTAGTCTTGTTTAACTCATAAGAGGTATTAATGCTTTTCGTTTTTTGTTTTTTTAACGTGATTCTAACACCGACATTCGAGACCAATTTGAAATTTTACGCCATTTCTCTCTCTTTATCTCTTCTTTCTCTTTATTCGTCTTCATTGTCGATGTTTGCTAAGTTTGGGAATTAATTAGTTGGGGCGGGGGGGGCTCCTACCTACGTCCACTCAAATGTATCGAGAACAGAACGTTGATGTTTAACATAGAAAATATGTTAATCTACTTTCAACCATAAAAATAGAAACCATTATTTATTTACAGTTATTAAAGAAAAGGAAGCTGTAAAAAATCCAGGATTGACTAAATCCTGGTGGAACATCACATCATTTTAAAAATGTCCTTCATTTTTTATTTGTTCTGTGTAGAAAAAAATTATTTTTAAAAAACGACAAAAAAAAAATATAGTTTTGAAGTAAGGTGCGGTCTTAACCTAATAAACGCGATTTTGAAATCATACATTACGATCGGAATTTATCTTTCAAATCTGGTATGACCTTTTGTATTTTCTTGTATAACTTTAGATTTTCTTTGTAAAGTCAACCGGCAAGCACTCGGCTCGATTGTATTCGTTGAGAAAAACCTTTGGATTGGCGGTGTGAACGCAGGTCATGTTTATCTGTTATCCACCGTAAAGACAAAAATATGGACACCCACGAGTTGTTTGATATCCAGTAAGCCCGGACGTTTCAAGGCAACAATCTCATGTCACTTATCTTGAAGTAAAATCCGTTAGACGCACGATCACTGAAGTTAACTAACATCGAACCTGGGCAATGCTTAGATGGGTGACCATTTTGGAATACCAAATGCCATAAAAAGAAAAACGTCATTAAAAAAAGCGTCAAAAAATCAATTAATCAAGAATAACGTTAGGTAATTCAGCACTCAAATAAAGGATTATCTAAGGGTTGGTAGTGAAAATATTTACCACTCCGAGTGAGTGGCGGTAACGAGATTAATCTGAAAATGATTAATAATTGTGAAACTGCTGAGCTGAATTGAAATAGTAAAAGATGCCTTCCAGAAATCAAGCAAAGTAAGAAATTATAGAAAATGTCCTTAGAAATGAGGAATAAGAACAATGAACTGCACTGTATTCACTATTTGGCAATAAACGCATGAAAATCTGATCAACGAGGTTAAGCAACGTCGGGTCTAATCACTACATAGATGGGTGTCCGTTTGGGAATATCAGGTGATGTAAGCATAGATATGCTGATGATTAATAGGATTACAGCCATATCACTTTGAAACCCCGATTCCCGTACGATCACCGAGGTTAAGCAACGTCGAACCTGGTCAGTACCTAGATGGGTGACCGTTTGGGAATATCAGTTGTTGTAAGCATAGATGTGCTTATGGTTAATGAGATCATGGCTATATCACTTTGAAACACGGTTCCCGGTAGAGCATCAAAGTTAAGCAACGTCGACACTGGTTTTTGGGGTGTGAGGGAATTAATTATAAAAAATATGGCAATCTTGGGCTTTCATATCCGCAAAAGGGACTGTTTTCTATTGATACAGATATTATTTTAATTTTTTAACTACATTCACACTTCAGTAATTAGAACTGTAAAAGAAAACTAAACATATGGTGAATTTGTACATTTTCTTTGTTCTTGAGAATTGACAACAAAGTTAATAAGCACATTTCATTTATAGGATTGTTTATTTATACCATTCATTTATTATATTACTAATTATTAATTCCTAATTGATTCAAACTTTATAAAATGGGCGTGGCATCTGATCGTGTCTGCGCTTAAAAAACATTATAAATTTCGAGAGGTCAAGTTTTCTGTTTAGAATTGAGTTCCCGGTTGCTTCTAAAGACTTTTCGGCAAACATGATCTTACGTTCCCACAATAAGACGGAATGTCAAATGGGACGGTTTTTCCCATGACACCGCTTTTTTTTTTTTTTAAATATCTTCACTCTTCAGCAATATTTATTGTTTTAAAAAGCGCTGATTAGAATTAGAATAAAGCCTAAACATATCAAAGTGAATTTATACATTTTCTTTATTTTTGCGAATTGACAACAAAAATAATAAACAATATTTATTTATTAGTAAGTTTATTGGAAGGTTGGAAAAATATCAGTTAATTATCATATCTCGTTTTATTCATATCTATTTGCTTGGGTCTGTTCATTATCTATCTATCCAAGGCTTAATTCGCATTCGTTCGCCTCAAGAATAAAATTACTGTATTTATGTTTGAACTTTGTTTAGGTTTACGAATAGATGATACCTGCCAGTGAGAAAATATAGGCTTGTATATATATATATATATATATATATATATATATATATATATATATATATATATATATAGTACAGATAATCGATCCGATGGTATATAAGGCAACATTTCTGATATTAATTTCTTGCTGATCTTCCCGATATTTAGACCTTCATCTAATGCTGGGTTGACCACGTTATACGCCCGAACGATAAAAGGACACTGAAAATCCTTAATTACAACCAACTACATGACAGTTCTTGGAGAGTGTGAAAAACCAGTACTGAGGTACAAGAATAAACTGAAACAAAACCTAAATTCTCTCGTCCCTTGTTGGCGTGGCATCTTTCTCTCTCGCACCCTCGCTCTCTCTCGCACCCCCTCTCTCTCTCGTCCCTTTTGGGCGTGGCATTTGATTGTGTCTACGCATAAAAGACATTATAAATTTCGAGAGGTCAAGCTTTCTATTTAGGATTGGGTTTCTGGTTGCTTCTAAAGACCTATCGACAAACATGATCTTACGTGCCCACAATAAGACGGAATGTCAAAAGGGACGGTTTTTCCCATGACACCGCTTTTTTTTTTTAAATATCTTCACTCTTCAGCAATATTTATTGTTTTAAAAATCGCTGATTAGAATTAGAATAAAAGTTGAACATATCGAAGTGAATTTATACATTTTCTTTGTTTTTGCGAATTGACAATAAAAATAATAAACACTATTTATTTATTAGTAAGTTTATTTACACTAGTTATATTGTTTATTGGAATGGTTGGCAAAACATTGGCTAATCGCCAATGGATTCAAACTTTATACCATGGCAAATAATAAGAATTTATTTATAGTTGTTTCATATAGTTCAATATTTTAATAAATTAATATAAATTTATGAATAAATTTGGTTTCATATTTATTTCTTTATAAATTGTTAAATGATAAATACTGCATTATTGTTATTGTCTAAGTTTTTAGAATGTTGTTAATTTTGTTTTTGCTTTGAAAATGTCCACATTGGACGAAACGCGTTGACAAAAACTACAGTTTTCCTGTTTTCTTTCCTTTATACATATTGTCTTTTTCTACAGGTTAAAGAGAATTTTTTACATTAGAGGGAATCTATAGATTTTTGTATTTGAGAATTGACAACAAATAAAATAAACAATCTTTATTAATTAGATATTTTATTTACAAGAGTAATTTTTATATCAACAATATTCTAAAAATTTAGACAATAAATATAATGACAAAAAATAAAAAAAAAAACTCAAACAATTTCGCGCCAAAGAAAAGAATCAAAGAAAAAAGTATATTTAAAAAACAAAAATATTTTCAAAAAAAACAAAAAAAAATACAAGCAAAAAAGGAGAATAAATGTAGTCATTGTTGAGATTTCAATATATTTATTATAATAGATTACAATAAAAAAATATTTTACATCGCTACACAATAGCATTCATATTTCAATACAATGATTGTACTTCGTCAGGCGATGGTAGATAACTTGTAATAAAAATGATTTTTTAGAGAAATTTATAAACAAATCGTTATCTCTTTTCCATAGGTAAAGGGTGGGGCATATGGTCAGAATTAAAAATATACTTGTGGGTATGTTTCGATTAACCAATTAAAAGTCAAATCTCGACTAAAGTAGAAAAATAAGGTTAGAGGGTGGAATTGGGTGGATTAGTTGTTTTTTATGTCACGATAAACTAGCTCCCAGACATGTCATGCAACGGTTGTACAAAACATGTCAAGTGCAAACGTGTTATGGATGTAGCCTGATTTGTTGAAGTACATATAAAGTTATCAGAAAAAAAATTATATCTAGGAAGCTTCTTGATATATTCGTATTTTTTTTTATTAAATATTCGTATTTTACTCGTTTCAGAAATAGATTCCGTCGGCTAAAATCACAGTTTTCCTATTGTTTTTTTTTCCTTTATAGATATTACCTTTTATATATTTAAGTTTTATTCCAATTCTAATCATCGCACTTTTTAAAACAATAAACATTGCCGAAGAGTGAAGGTAGATGAATTATACATGTATAAATTCACTTTCATCATATGTTTAGGTCTTATTCCAATTTTAATCATCGCTTTTTTAAAACAATATACATTGACGAAAAGTGAAGGTAGGTGAATTATACATGTATAAATTCACTTTCATCATATGTTTAGGTTTTATTCCAATTCTAATCATCGCTTTATAAAACAATGAACATTGCCAAAGAGTGAAGGTAGATGAATTATACATGTAAAAATTAACTTTCATCATATTTTTAAGTTTTATTCCACTTCTAATCATCGCTTTTTGAAACAGTAAAAATTACGGAGGTGTGAAGGGTGTTAAAATAAAAGTATTGTCAATGAAAAAAACGGCATTTGAGATTTCTTTTTTGTTTGTTTGTTTTTTGGGGGTATGGGCACGAAGATCCATATTTGCCAAAATTATTAATAAGGTCGTCCGAATTTCTTTGATAATATCCATGTTGGTTTATTTACCTTAATATTCTGGTCAGTGTTACGATTTCTATTAGTATTTTCGTAAGAATTAGTAGCCAATTTTTTTTCTAAATTATATTTTTAATATATTCATATTTTTCTCGTTCCAGAGATCGATTCCGAACAATGATTAATGTTGAAGGAGACAGCTTGGGAGCAGGAATCGTTTACCACTTATCGAAAGCTGAGCTTCCACCATCCGAAAAGGAAATCGAAGATGGCGTCGTCCCCGCGGTCGTTGGCGAAAACCCCTCACGTAGCGTAAGTAGCGCTCTTGAGAAAATCCCCAACGGCACTGAAGGGGCCGCGATCACTGCTGTGTAAAATGCAAATGGCGGAAAGCTCATCGTTAGTGTGCTGAATTCAAATGAATTTCGAAAACAAAGCTGACGGCGCCAATCTAAAAGAAAAAAAAAGAATGTTAACATTTAACAACGGATCAAAAGCAAAAAAAAAGTTGATAAATAAAGAAAGAATAACAAAAAAAAACAAAACAAAAACACAAAAACATACGCACCAAAGAAAAAAAAATCAAAGAAAATATGAATATATATTTAAAAAAAAATGTTGAAAAAAACAAATACAAGCAAAAAAAGGAGAATGAATGTGGTCTGCACGAGAAACAATTTTACAGAAAATCCTGGATCCAATGAAAACATCAACACTCGCAACGTTTACACCAATAAGAATTCAAAGGAAAATTATATATATATATATATATGATGATTGAAATTGACTGCTCTTTCTTCGGGACCGGAAAGAGGGGCAAAAAATAAGAAAGGAATTATCAAGAATAAAAGAGTAGAGAGAGACAGGATGAGAACGAAAATGAAGAGGAAAAAGGTAAAAAAAAAAAAAAAAAAAAGGAGAGCTTCCAACAAATGCACAATGTTGAAGAAACGGTAAACAACAAAATTAAATGAAACGTTTGACAACAGCTAAACAAATAACAACAACAAAATATCTGAGTATGACTAGGAAACTAGCGACTTCAAATCTACAGTATATATATATATATATATATATATATATATATATATATATATATATATATATATATGGATATTTGGATATTTGGATATATATATATATATATATATACACTTCATGAATTGTATCCTCATCTGAAGCCAAAAATCGTTAACAGATGCACAAACAGATACTCAAACACACACACACACACACGCATATATATATATATATATATATATATATATATATATATATATATATATATATATATATATAATCTTTTAATCGAATATTCTTTCTGAACGATGCCAAGTCAACTTCGATTATTTTTCTACAGGTCCCTATATACTCTTAATGTTTTCAAGGAAAACTTAATTGCATGCCACTTGATCATAAATACAAAAATATATGCACTTATTTATATATATATATATATATATATATATATATATATATATATATATATATATATATATACATGTGTGTGTGTGTGTGTTTTAAAATAGAAAGGGTTACTGTATGAGGAATAACCAAAACGGAGGTTGAAAATGAAGTGTTAATTTTATAACATCAGCAAAATACAATACTCGCCAGCGGCGTGAAGCAGGTAAACCACGGCTAGTGGTGGACTACTTAGCAAATTACCTTCCACTTACAACGGTGCCCAACGCATTTATGAGGATTGCCTAGTCTCATACAAGGTGAACTATGGTAAATTCCAATATATATATATATATATATATATATATATATATATATATATATATATATATATATATATATATAAGTATAGGATTGTGTATACGGAATAAAGTACAATAACCAACAATGACTATGCTTAAAAGAGTGCTCAATACAGAGTTGAGCGAATATAATTATTTAATTGAAAATTATAACATAAATATGTTTTAAAATCATTAAAAAATAGCCATTTTGTTTCAACACATTTGGTGTCTTATCAATCATCATCACTTGATAAGACACCAGAGGTGTTGAAACAAAATGGCTGTTTTTGTAGTGATTTCAAAACATATTTATGTTATAACTTTTCAAAAATAATATATATATATATATATATATATATATATATATATATATATAAAGAAGTGTATGTGTTTATTTTTTTATTATCTATTCCTTAAATGTGCTTATCTTTCGAAAAATTCCGTAGCTTCAATGGTTGCAAGTATAGAGCATTATGGCACTCGAATACACGTATATATTGATATGCATATATTATTTATACACAGAAGAGAGCTATTGGCCTATCACTAATATATATATATATATATATATATGTGTGTGTATATATATATATATATATATATATATATATATATATATATATATATAAATATAAAAAGATTTATTTAAATTTTGGCTATATCTATTGGAAAGTGTGTACATTATTGGAGGTAAATTGGTCGTAGATACAGACAACGTGAATCTAAAAATGATTACTATATAGTGACAGGCTGTTTCACGCCGTCTGGAATCATCAGAATATATGAGATACATCGCCGTAGATTAATTAGTAACAGAAGTTATCATAAGCTATTAATATGTTGGTGAGTTCATATGTTATCTTAAATCGATGAGCTCTTGCCGGACACGATAAGGCTGCCTTACTTCATTATCTCTCTCTTACAACTTATGTTCACACACACACACACACACACAGATATATGTATATATGTATGTATGTATGTATGTATATGTGTGTGGGGGGTGTGCGTGTGTGTGTATGTGTGTGTGCGTTTATGTATGTAGGAATGCATTACTTCCGATGTTATTATAGAAGACACTTCTTATTTGGAACAGATGACCTATTTTTATTTATTAAACAGTGAGT